CTTGAATGTCACATAAGGTTTGCTGAAAATTTCCAAGCCAGCAACTGGTTGGATGAAGTTCATTTTCTAGTCTTCTCTCAGAAATGGTGGCAGGTACAGGAATTATCACATTCTTGCACGTTTAAAAGTGCTTTATGTTTTCTCCCATAGCTTTGATATTGGAAGGATATGGCACTTGGAGGTAAAAGCTTTGTTTACACTTTCATTGAGTTTTCCAGCAGAGGATGCTACATTGTACTCCTGCTTTGTCTGCCAGTTTTGCAACAATACTTTGTGTAAATCTGCCTTTGCTACATTGTATTCCTGCTTTGTCTGCCAGCTTTGCAACAATACTTTGTGTAAATCTGTCTTTAAGTACCTATTCATTCTGCTTGGAAGCCCTGATGACTTCACCTATATTTCTGAAATATGACAGCTTCATTAAGCTAGCTCTCAGAGGAGATATGTCTGTGTTAATTTTTGCAGGTATCCAGGGAGTCTTTCAAATTTTAGATTTATTTTTTTCTACTTCTAGATTGATTAATTGGTTGACTGACTTTTGACAGTGTCTCCCTGTGTAGTTCAGGCTGATCTAGAATTTTGGGTGATCCTCCCACCTCCCAAGTGTTGGGATTACAGACATGAGGTACAACATCTAGTTTTGAAAACTTTTGGTTACATTTTAAAATATTACTGTTCCATTTTCATTTTCCTTATTGAGGGACTCCAAACATGAACACTGTATCTTCTTTGCCTATTTTCCATTCCAAATACTTTCTCTGATTCACTTTACTTTTTGTCCTTTATGACTGTTTTTGTTGCCTTATGCCTTTCACTGCCTGTTAAATTTTCATTTGAATCTATCTCATGATTTATTTACTTTTATTGTCCTTTTTGTCTATTTTTCTTGCATTTCATCAATTTTATTTTTTCTTTTATTCTTCATTTCTACTTTGTTTTAAAATTTCTAATTCAAGATGTTTTTTAATTCTTAAATGTTTGGCTATAGTCAGTTCTGTCTGGAGTGTAAACATGGTGTGCTCTGTTTCCTGGTTATGTTCTGGGGGTAGGGAAGTAGTCTTCCAAGCTGCTCTGCACAAACAGTTGCTTCCTGGTTTTCTGCAATAAATTCTCCTTGGTTTTTATTTTTGTGAAACTTGGGAGGGAGTGATGATATTAATTTACAAGTTTCTCAATTTATAGTACTCTGCCATTTTAGCAAAGTCCAGATACACTAGTAAAGAGTTTAGTTTTTTGAAAAATTGGAGGTTTGATCATGGGATAAGAGTGGTGAATCCTCTAATTTCATACTTCTCTTTTCTTTCCTACAGAAGTAAGTAGAACGAGCAAAATAATCTAACTAAAATGGCTACTGATTTAAAAAGAGTTGCAGTTTGGGGCAAATGTACTATGAGTTCCAGGGTCAAAAAATTTCAGAAGTGTTGAAGATCAGCTTGTTATGATGGAAATAGGGACGCTTATCAAAGAATCACTATCCAGTGACTACCGTTCTTTTCCCTTACATACATGAGTCAGTTAGCTCCTTTTTTTTTTTTCCAGTACCAGGGAATCAAACTCATGACCTTGTGTTTGCCAGCATGCACTGTACCACAGAGCTGTATCTCAAGCCCAAGTAGCTCCTTCTTTAGACAGAGGCATAGAACAAGAAAAATTAAAGAGATCTAAATATAGGTTTTTCCCACAAGTCTAATGTTTTACAGGATTATTAAGATTAATTTTAATCTCTAAAGGACATAACTGCATGTATATTTAAGCATATAAGATAGATAATCATATTACTGAGTTTTTGTTGGATCGCTGAACAGAACTGTTCGCAGTCTCACTGTTTGTCCACTTTATATATGCTTTAATTTTGTAACTTGAACAACTATTTCTAAGATGACAATATGTAATCTATTAACTAGTGATTTCCTACTGTTTTTTTTTGAAATTCTGTATTACTTGTACCCTTTTTCTGTTTTTTCCTTAAATAAAAAATTTTTTAAAAGATTATTTTTAAATTCAACAGCTTTACAGTATATCAAAATACCAACTGAGGATACACCAGTGACTCATTTTACACTGGAATCTATAAGTACACTTTAAATTGCAATATATAACATTTGGTCCACATAGTCTAAACTTGGAAAGACTAGAAGACAACTAATTCAACCAAGGAGATCTGGGTGTTCAAAGAGTAGAAAGCAGGCAATCAAAGTATATATTAATTAGTCTTAACGTTATTTAATATGCCAATAAAATAGTTCTAAACCAACTAATGTTAACTGCAGTAAAAAAAAAAAAGTCCTCCTTTACCGTCAACCTTCTTTTGTCAGTCCATCTTCTAAAACCACTTTCTCAACCACTTTCTCAAGTCTTACAAATGTTTTATTCCACTCATTCTACACATTATTGGCTCCCTAATATGTGCTACATTTCTAGGAGCTGGTTCTGGCACTTAAGTATAGTAGAACCTTTTTCTTAGTTCTCTGGAGACTAAACCCAGGGAACTGAGCAGGTTAAGCGTGTGCTTTACCACTGAGCTGCATCCCCAGTCCCACTTACTGAAAACTTTTTGCTGTTGTTTACTGAGTCTCAATACATAGCCCATGTTGGCCTCACATGGCTGATCCTCTGGCCTCAATGTCCCATGTGCTGGGATTACAGTGTGTGTGCTACTATGCACAGCCACAGAACTTCCAAGCGTTGCTAAGATATAAAATTTTTAAAGCATATTAGAAACATGATAAGTATTTCAACTGAGAAGCATGGAGTTGCTACATGAACATATAAGGAGACATACAAGGGAACATACAAGGAAAATACAAGTCTTTTAGCAAAGCCTTGAAGGATAAGAAGTCAGGAAGGCATGAGAATAAGAATATCCCAGACATGCAACTGAAGTAAGAAAACATTCCAGGAACTGAAACAAAGCGCAGTATGGCTGGACCACTTCAGAGACAAAGCTAAAAAAGTTCAACAAAATCCATCCCAGAGGCTTTTGTGAATCACTTAAGGAGTCAGGACTTTAGCCTAAAGGATATTACAAGATTTTAAGCAAGAAAGTACAAAAAATCAGATTCACATCTTAGACAAATCCAACAAATCAACAACAGTTACAAGGCACCAACTGAGGCAAGGCAATAGAGTAGATTTTTACGACAAGGAGTATGACTTTCAATGAGCCTAGCAAGACTTTTAGACCTGGAAGAGTGAAGGCAATCTTGATGAAGTTCTTTCTTAGGGAGAGAGGTGCTGTGGTAATCTTGAAAGCAGTCTTAAGAATGCAGAGAGGACATGCACATCCTGAGACACTTGAAGAAGTAGTTGAAAATAAATCTGGAAAAGCTTGGGATATATTTGGAAAGCTTTAAAAGCCTAGCTAGAGTCTGCAACTTTTCCAAACAGGAGATATAGAGGGCTGGGGATACAGGTCAGTGGCACAGCACCTGCCAGGCAAGCATGGGGTCCTGAGTTTGATTCCCTGATACCAAAATTAAAAAGAGAGAGGGAGGGAGATATAGAGTCACAAACAATTTCTAAACAAAAATGCATGCTCAGGTAATTGTACTGTAAGTAAATCAGGAGGGGGAAAAGACTGGATTTAGGAAGACAGGAGATTTTCATAGAACTCTAGATGTTACTAATGTTAATGTGTTAGAGTGGAAATCAGGAACAAATTTCATAGCTGTCACAAAAGAAAACCAAAGTCACATTGACATGACTGCCTGAATATTTGAAAGGGACAGGAGAAAGGGTAGGCTCGATGACTGAACACAGCTGAGGTGGAATAAAATTGGTAGACTGTAAATTAGAAGTTATAAATTTCATTATTACATATTACCATACAGCAGCCCTTCTCAAAATACGGTTGACAAGGGTAGTATTGATCTGTGCACTATTGGTTACTCACCTTGCAAAGAAAATGTGAGTAAGCAGTTAGAAACTTTGACTACAAGTTGACAGTATCTTAAGCCTGTTGAATTCCATAACAGTAAAATATTTGGACTTACAGTGTCTTTGACTTTTTAAAATTCCACTTTTTCTAGTAATTCACTCTCATACTATTGTACAAAAATATGAAACTGTCAGTGATTCAAAATTAGAAACAAAAGCAAAAGCAATTGGTCCTTTTTTCACAAGTATTCTGAGAAACACCATCAGAGTACTTAGCTTGCAACCCAACCTAAATAGATTAACTCTATCTTTGTATATATTCGAAAGTAAACACAAGCGAGGCATGGTGGCCCATGTCTGTAGTTCCAGCACTCTGGGAAGCTGAGGAGGCAATAACAAGCTCAAATCTAGCCCGGGGAATTTAGTGACTTAGTAAGACCCTGTCTCAAACAATAGAAATGGCTGGAAATGTAGTTTAATGCAAAGAACCTGGGTTCCCCCTCCCCTAAAAAAAAATGTAAGTACAAATTTGAATATGGACCAGATACCAGAGGTTGAAAATTTTCACCTTTAAGTCAAACAATACCACCCTGATTATCCAGCAAAGTCCTCTTAAGAGCTGTATGTTGGAGTACTTAGGGGTAAGTTATTATGTTTGCAATTTACTGAATAGTACAGCGCGAGAAAAAGACATAGCTGTATCTCATACTCACCCAGATAAGGCAAATAGGGCCAAATATTAACCATAGTTGAATGCAAGAGGTGGGCATATAGATAAGAATACTATACTTCCAACTTTTCAAAATATGATGTTCAAAAACAAGTTTAAATAAATACCACAGGGGCTGGCAGTGTAGCTGTGTGGTGGTTAGCATATACAGGGCCCTGGGTTCAACCCTAAAACCAAAAATTAAATAAGTAACATATAACTAGCCAGGAGTGTTGACATAGCTGAGGCAGGAGGATCACCAAAAGTTTAAGACCAGCCTGGGCTATACAGTGAGTTCAAGGTCAGCTTGAGCCACACAGTAAGACCACACAGTAAGGTTTCGAAATGAAACAAAATAAAACAAACATCCCTAAAATAAATAAGTAACATATAAGCAAAGCAAAACCATCCATACCTCAAAGTCACTAGATCAGTATCCTCTGGGATGATTTCTGGATCTTCATCTTCCTCAAGGCATTTCAGTTTATCGAGGCTAAAACAAAAGAAGGAATCAGTATTCTAAGGTCAGCCATATATCTTGTCCCGAGAGCCACGGCTGTGTGCTCAATACACCAACTAATGCAACTAAGAAGTCAGATAAAATCCAGCAGATGACTTAGAAAACGTCAAAATAGAAGGCAATGATTCTATGCTGATGATTTTTATGGCCAATTGAAAGCGGCGGCTACTGCAGGTAAACGGAGAAAGAACCAAGTTATTTTTATGTTTTCCCTTTGAGGGAAAATTTCAGTAACAGCATACTAGGGAGGTCCCTTAAAGAGATCACAGTTAAAGGTTTTAACGCTCCTGGAATTAAGTCTCCTGCAGCTTCATCATTACTCAGGTTCCTCCATTGTCAAAGTGCCTGTCAATGGCAGATCCTCGTCGCTGTTACCCTGCTGCTTATCTTTATTAAAAAGCACCTTAGAAATTAGAGAACAGGAAAATCAGTCTCTTGTGCAGCTGTCTGGTCCCTTTAACTCGCAGGAATTGTGTTCGGATCCCAGGACTTCCCAGGCTTCCGGGAAGGCTCTGGCGGGTTGAACGGTTTGAAAGAGCTGTTCCCGAGCCAGAAGTCTAAGCTACAGGCCCCCACCCGGACGAGAGGCAGAGGAGCGCAGAGACGAGCTGCACCTCTTTTGGCTACGCTGCCCATCGCCTGGGCCCTGTACTGACCCGCACACCGTCCTCAGCTCGGCCGCTGCCTCCAGACTGCAGCCCAGATCCCGGGCCACCTCAGCATCGTCCCGGTGGGAATCTGTGACCGCTAGGCTCCCAGGCTGCTCGGGTGCTGTGGGCTCCTTCAGAGACAAGTCCCCGGCTCCGCGCAACCGGCCCCGCCACAGCTCCCCAAAGGAGCCCACGTGGAACACGCAAGTGCTCAGCTCGAGAAGCTCATATTCTGGAAAGTTGCAGCGGCCGGCGCCGTGGGCCAGGTCCTGCGGCTCGCCAACCCGGGTGCACGCTGCGCCGCCCCTACTATCTTCAGCCATGTTCGCCGTACTCCCACCGCTGCGAAAACCAGGCGATCAAGCTCGCGGAGCGTGACGGGACTTGTAGTTACGCGCGCCCCCTGGTCGGCGGGCGGGAACGTGACGCGGCGAGCCCAGCACACTACATCTACCAGCAGGCACCGCGGCCGCCCGGGATGCGGCTGGCCACTCCCGGAGGAGGAAGGGTCGGGTGCATTGTTCTCCGGCTGTGTAGGGAGTGGCTGCAGTCCTTGGGCTCTCGGGAGGGTTCTGGTTGAGTATGAGTCTTCTCTGTTGGGCCAGGCGGTCTTATCACACCCTAACGTCTTCCCCCTGGTTTCCCTAGGACCAGGCTCTGGGAGTGCTGCACTTTTACCGAAATCCAGGGTTCGCGAGCTGTGCCACTGTCTCACTGTTTTAAAGTGTGAGAGAGAAGGGATGAGACCACTACGATTCACTGGACATGGTCGGATTTCCTGCTCCTGTTCTCTCAGAAACCTGTGCAGTGAACCATCTAGTATTTGCTTGCATATGCTTACTGTATAGATTTGCATTGCTGTACTCCAGCACAGTGCTGTTACGGTAGTGTCGACTATGCATCATGCGTGTCTCGTTATTAATCCTAATGCAGATTTTTAAAAATCACAAGCCGAGTGTGGTGGCATACAGTTACAATCGCAGCGTTTAGGACCCTGAGCGAGGAGCTTTTGTGTGAGTTTGAGGCCAGCCTGAACTGCATAGTGAGACCTCATTGCAAAAAAAAAAAAAAAAAAAAAAAACAATCCGCTGCCAGGTGGGGCAGTGCATATCTGTGTGCCTAACACTCCAGAGTCTAAAGCGGGCGTATCCCAAGTTTGGGATTGGCTTGGGGTACAAAATCTCAAACAAAAATCACAACCACCTTCCCAGACAGAGCTTGTCAGCCACATGTTGCTGTTATGAAAGAGCTACTTGCTAGCTAATAGAAGCAGGGTTAGAACTCATGGGGCTTAACTTCAGGTGGGACTTTTGCCATCTCTCAGTGGAACTCCAAACCCCAGCAAGTCTTTCAGAACCAGCCCTAACTATTTATTATTATGATTTAACTACAAAGTGTTGTGACTTGTATCGATAGGCACCCTCCAGACCTCATGTGGTGGGGCTTTTCAGAGGTGGCTGGATCTGGGTTGTGTGATGCTGAGATCAGGGATGTGCTGGTGGGATTGATTTGAGATATGATGCTAGGATTAAGGCTGCCCCACCATGAGTGTGAGCGCCGTCTGCCCCAAGGGTGGGAAGCCTGGATAAGATATAAGAGATAGAAAGAGGGTTGGTGCTTGTCCCTTGTGGCTTGCTGCTTTGCTGCCTTCTCCCTACCAAGAACTGTTTCTCCTCTGTGATGTCCCTCTGCCATGCCACCCTGTCTTGGAGCCAGCCAACTATAAACTTGATGCCTCTGTAAACTATGAGCCAAAATAAACCTTTCCTCCTTTAACTCTGGATGTCTGGTATTTTGTCTCAGCAACAAAGTAACTAAGACACATACTACACAATTGACCTAGTTTAATTGTTAACTCAGTGGTTTTCACTGTATTTCCGAAGTTGGGCAACCACCACACAAGCAATTTGAGAACATTTTCACTCATTACAAAAAGGAAACCTGTACCTTTTAGCTATCAACTCCAATCCTCCAAGACTCCAGCCCTAGCCAGCCACTAATCTATTTTATATCCCTACAGGTTTATCTATTATGGGCATTTAATAAAAATAGAAGCATAATATATGGTCTTTTCATGACTGACTTGCCACTTAGCATAATATTTTCAAGATTTATCCACATTGAAGAATGTATCAGTATTTCATTCCTTTTTTGGCAGAATAATATTGTTATTTCACATTTTATCCATTCATCAAAAATTCTAATTATTGGCTATTAGGAATAATGATGCCATGAACATTTATGTACACAATTTTGTGAAACATGTTTTCATTTTTCTTGAATAGATCCTAGATGTGTAACTATAACTCTAAAGTGGTTGCTCTATTTTATACTCCTGCCTGGAGTGTAAGGGTTCTGATTTCTCCACATTCTTGCCAACACTTGTCATCTGAAAAAAAAAACAAAAAACAAAAACAACATTTTTTTCTTGTCTGTTTGAGATAGGGCCTTGCTATGCAGTTCAGGCTGACCTTGAACTCACTTTGTAGCTCAGGTTGGCCTTGAACTTGTAGTGATTCTCCTTTCTTAGCCTCCTGAGTGCTGGGATTACAGGTGTGTGCCACCATGCCTGGTTTATTATCTGAATTTCATTTCATTTATTTATTTATTTGGTTTTGTTTGTTTGTTTTGTATGTAGCCTAGGCTGGACTGGAATTCATGGTGATCCTCCTACCTCAGTGTTTTCAGTGAGCGCTGGGATTATAGGCATTCACTACCTATAGCATGGAATTACCTTAATTTTTAAATTGTGACCATCTTATTGGTATTAAATACTATCCTATTATGTGGGTTTTTTTTTTTGCATTTCCTTGATGATTAGTGATAGCAAGCTTGTTTTCATGTACTTATTAAACACTCACATATTTCTTTGGAGAAATATCTACTCAAGCCCTTTACCCCAACACCTTTTGATTTATTGATTGAGACAGGGTCTCTCTATGTAGTCCAGGCTGACCTTGAACTTGCTATCAGGCTGGCCTTGAATCATCTTGCTTTGGCCTCCCAAGTAGCTAGGATTATATGTAGGTACTATAACAGCCAACATTTTCATACTTTTATATTTTATTTCATACTTATATATTGTATTTATATTCTTATGGAAGCCTTGGTTTTCATCATAACATTGTTGTAGGAAGCATTTATTGTATTTGTTTGCCATATCCAGCAAAGCTCTTGAAGTTCAAGGGTCAGGGGAAGGATGATGTGAGGATTAAGAAATAAAGATAAGAGATTACTAAAAGCTAAGGTCAGGTGGAGTACTCCTCCCTCAGGATGGGAGGAATAGAACTGCTCAACCACTGCAGTGCATTTATTTATACATTCAGCGTGTCGATGTCACACGACATCCATCTGCCTAGAAATTTGCATGCTTGGTAGTGTTCTCTGGACTGGAGTACCTTGTTCACCTGGCTCACTTTGGGTGTTCTTCTCAGGACCAGCCTTGCTCCAGCACTGCACATGTGATCCATCGTCAGTGTGAGCCACTCCCCACATTTGTGTACTTTAATTTGACTTTCCCTGTTCTTTTTGGTCTTGCTGGAGTAGCCAATCATATAACACTTTTTACTCAGACCACAATGCTTGGCCCAAGGATGAGTAAGTAAGCTATGCCATGAGATCCAATCATAAACTTTCTCTGGGATTTTATATATAAACTAAGAAGCTCTTTCTCAACACTGAGGACCTAAGAATGTGTCCTAGACACAGCCTATGTCTGCCAATGGATGAGTTGAAAGAGGGAGCAGTTTCAATAAGTAAAGGTAAAAAAATGAAAAAAGAAAGAACTCAACTCATTTGGATCTATTGCAGCTGAGGACATCAGCTCTACTATAGTTCTCATTAAATGGAGAGGAGCAAAGTTGATCTTTATCCCATTGGGGTTTTTAAACTAGAATTGACAAGTTAATGTCAGAAATATTAACAGAAAAAACAGCACAAAAATTAAATACAACTTGCAGGTAGCAAGAGATCCTTTAAAAGGAAATGAAAACCTAAGCCACAGAACTGAATATTTACATAGTGGGGTGGACAGTGTTGTAGTTACTGTTCTCATTGCTGTGGCAAAATACCAGACACCAAAGTTAAAGAAGGAAAGGTTTATTTTGGCTTACAGTTTGAAAAGGTTTCAGTCTATGATCAGTCTTGGCTGTCTCCAAGGCAGTGTGGCAAAACAGAGGGGAATTACAGGGGAAAAACATTTCATGGTAGGCAGACGGCAGACAGCAGAAGACACCACCAGCAAGCCACAAATTACAAGTAACTAGCAGCAAGCTTTTTTCTGTCCCTTGTATTATATCCAGGCTGCCTGCCTTTAGAGAAAACAGCAGTCATACCCTTAATCCGAGCACCCTCAACAATAGCATTGCACCATGAATCAATCACACACTGTAGATCCGTCCACCTCTGAAAACCCCCACCTCTGACTGCATGAGGCTTTGAGGGGACATCTAGACACAAGCCATAACACACAGAGTAGTAAACTGAAAATATGACAAAGTGAAGGGGCTTGGGCTATGGTAGACAGGTAGAGAACGAGCAAAAAGATAAGGGTTGGTTTAACAAGGTTGGCTTGTATAGATTTCCTTCAGCCTCAACTTCCTATTCTTAGTGATGAAAAGATGCTTTTCTTCTGTTATACGGAGGGCATCTTTCACATGGAAATCTCATCCTCTGCTTTTAAGACACAGAAGAAAGGTCAACAGTGAGTGTCTCCCACATACTGTTTTTCAAAGGCCTTTCACTTAAAATTAACAATATGCCAGAGTGATGTATTTGGGAGTGGCATATTTTTGTTTCAGTAGTGATTTTTTTTAAATTAGTTTAAGTTTCATTCTTTAGCAACCTCAAGGCCAATAGTCTTCACAGAACTTACAAGACTGACCAGATCTCTCCACAGGGAAGCTCTCTCTTCAGAGGTCATGCTTCAAGAGGAGGAACTGGTCTAACCTATACCTGGAGATTTAGTGACACTGGCTTCAGGAGTAGAGGCAGGAGAGGTCCCTGAGCAGCAGCAGGTCAGGCAAGGATGGGGGTGAACGCTGTAGGGAAGTTGGCTTGCTGGCACTGTAGGATGTCACACTGGGGAGTAGCAGTTTGAGAAGCACGGTGTGCAGGGATTGGTAGGGAAAGGATGAGTGGTGAGCACCAGAAGAGATCACTACATGATAGTCAGCTACATTTATCAGCCCCTTCCTGAATAAAGGCCAAAGGCAGCTTCAGGCCTCTGGCAAACTTGGCAGGTGAGATGCTGCCAAGCCTGGCAGTAGGATCAGACAATAACAGAAAGGAAGTGGAGAGATTCTAAAGTCTCAGGATAAGAAAGGTCCCTGTAATTCTGATTGAGTCCTGTCCAATTA